AATTTACGGGAATGAAGTCGTAAAAATTATGAGAATAAAGTCGTAAATTACAGGAATAAAGTCGTGAATTTACGGGAATGAAGTCGTAAAAATTATGAGAATAAAGTCGTAAATTACAGGAATAAAGTCGTAAATTTCAAATCAGGAAAACTTTTAGCAGCAGCATCAAACTGGGAAGGATGTCAAAGTGGACTCTGGTTGCTGATTGGTGGAGCTGGTCTGACATCATCTGATGGGCGGAGCTCCAAGCTTTCTTTCTGAAACCGGTTGTTGTATGACAACTTTATTCTCGTAATTTTTTAACTTTATTACAACTTTATTTTTGAAATGAAAAAGAAAATCTCTAGCCTGGCCCTAATACTCGTAATAAATGACTCTCCGTACCTTTCAATAAAACTGGCTTTCCATGTTTCTTCCAATAACATTTTTCCTTTTTTTCATCGTCTTGTTTTAACCTGCACTCTGCCATTAGTCTCTGTCCATAAAGGGTATTTCTTTCTATTTCTGGAGACTAAAGAAAATAATCCCGTCTGATATTTTCCTACATTTAATCCTACATCGAATGATCGACCCCGCAGTTGAACACAGGGACGCTTCCTGAGATCAGAATGAAGTGTCTGTTCCTGGTAGAGCCAGAGGTTAAGCAGATCTGCTTTGCTTTGTTCAAACATAGAAACGGAGGAAGCAGATTGGTAGCTGACAGCAGCAGCAGCAGCACTGATGACTGCTTGTTATGACTCCCACTCAGAGCCGAGCTGACAGGTCAGGATCACGATCCGACAAGCCACCTCTTCTTAGCATTACAAATGAGATGAGCTTCAGATCATGATTCAGTGCTCTAACGTCGACACGCCTCCGTTTCTAACTGGAAAACAAACCAGAAGTCAAATCAAAATCACATTTCCTGCAACTAGAAATATTTGTTATAAAGCTAGAAGCTCTACTTTGTTTGACCCAACGGTGAGGCGCTCCTTTTACAGCCAAACCTCATTGGTTCTGTTCTTTTTCTAATGAAATTTAGAAAATATTTCTTAAATCAAGTGTATTTACTCTTAATTTGTGCAGGTAAATAAGATGATTTGTCAATGGAATGAGATTTTTAACTTAAAATAAGATAATTAGATAATAATCATTCTAGTTCTTTTTGTGTTTTAAATGTAAATATTCTTCTTCCATTTTTGTGTCTCACTTTAACTCCTCAATTCCAGAAAAAAATGCACTTTTTTAAAGAAAATAATTAAATTTTTTGCAGTGGTATGCTGGCCCATAATCATTGCTCACTCTTTCCTGCTGGTTTAATTGGCTTTTCTTTTTCTTGCTTGAGTCAACTCCAAGCTTTGTTTTGAGCACAACTGTGCTTCTCCCTAGGGTGCCATGGCAACGGGAGATGATGATGTCTTTTGTGTATGCTGTGTGACACTAGAGCCGCTACAAAGGCGTCTCTTTGAACAGTTTTGCTTTTTTGCGCGTTTCCCCATCAACATCTGTTGGTCGGGGACTTGTCAGTCACAGCTGTCAAGCCTTCGCCGCTCTGGAACTTGCTCTCTCATCTCTGGCGTTTTCTAGTTAGATATCTCTACTTAATAGGTGTCGAATACGCCCGGCGCCACCTCTCACACCAAACTCTACGTATCAGAATCCAAGTATTCAACGTGAACCAAAGCAATTAGCTGTTTAGCAGGAAGTAGA